TACCGCTTGTGAGAGAAAAAGGTTGCCATCCGGCAGACCGCTCCGCCTCAGTGACGAAGACCATGGAGGATGAAGATTCTAGTACTGGGACCGGCAAGAGCCGAAGACGGTCACGCCCTCCACTTTGTCACGTCCGCATGGAACGAGACCGGAGCTTTCAGCTTGGAGTAAGCAACTCCTAGCATTGTAGCTAGCATCTTCATGCTAGGGGCAAAACCCGTCTTGGCCAAACRGTCTGGATGAGCTCCCAGTCCAGTCCTGGCTGGGAGCACCAACCACTGAATGCCTTAATCCAGCTAGCTAACATCTCTGTGTTGCAAGTGAGCCAATAGCAGCCAAACACATCCTGTGTTACAAACCAGCTAGCAGCAGTCTGCAACTGCCCTGGTCAAGCTACATAGCACGTCCATGGCTAGAAGCCACACCAAGCGGCAGCACCCTGACTCCAGCTTCTCCACTGAAAAAAGCGGAGTCCAGTTTCGGCGCAACACGTTGAGATATAGCGCACTGCTTAGCTTAGCTAGGTGGCTAACCGGCTTAGCTAGTTTGCCACCGTGATCTCCGGCGGGAAAAAAACCGCTAGCCTGGGCCTCCATCCCCGGGGAAGATAGCTCAGACCATGCCGAGATGAGAAGCGCATGGTCCGAAAAATCTGGGAAAGCTTCCAGTCCAGTCCTGGCTGGAAACATCGATGTCTGAAGGCCTTAACTACTAGCTACCACATCCGTGTAACGAGTGAGCTAGTAGYGGCTATGAAAAACGGGGACTTCTGTGGAGGCACGAAGATGTCCGAAGATGTCCGGCGCCTTAGCTTAGCATAATACCGCACCGCAGGGACACCCGCGGGAAAAATACATGCTAGCTAACCACGGCCAGCCTTCTCCGAGGAAGGAGACCGGAGTAAAAAACGAGTTGTGCYGRGGAAAAACCGAACCCCGAGCAGCCCGGAAAGGACGGCTACGCGGATCATAGCTCGGTGGCGCCGGACACGAATTCCATGTCAATATAAAAGGAATCATAACACTTACATGTATGTAGCGTCTTCTATGGTTACACGTCGAATGCCGAACTGAAGAAAAAGGGGGAGCTGAACTCAGGTCCATCCTCCCCTTTTATATGGACCGAGGTGGGGCCCACAGTACGTGGGCATAGACTATTGGCTCTTCAGAATGCGCGAGCGYGCGCGGGGGTACCCATCTGCGATAGCCTTAGAGGGCGGAGCTTACACGAAATAGAACGAAACGTTTCACTGAAGAAGAACCCATCCAGAGAGATGCATCAGGACGTTTTACATGTAGCTGCAGCTGCTCCAGTTAACCACTAGATGTCAGTCTTCGTCAGCACCAGTTTATATAACCTGTTGCTTCGACCAATTATGTCAAGTATTGAGCTCCAGCATTAAAATGTATTTTTTTTAAAAGGGAGCTCCGATTGTAAAGTAAAATAAATCAATACATACAAAATTTTAGTATGGATTACAAACGTTTACTGTTTTCGCTGGGAAAGGGAGTTCTAGACATTGCTTTCCTGCTACGTAACCAGACACAAAGCATTGTGGGAAATGTCTGTAGAACATGGATCCTTGCTGGCTACTGAAAATTGTGTTTTGCACTGTGTTTATTATATAATTTAACAGAAGCCATGTGAGTAATTTAGATTGCTGCCAGCAAAAATACTTTGCAAAGCTGACCTACTAAAATGAGAACCGACTGAACCGTGACCCAAAGCGACAGTCAGGGAGGATGTATACCTTTACAAAAAATACAGTAGTGTTAAGCTAGGAGGTGAGCTGTTGGATGAATCATATGCGTTGTGAGTCCTGACAGCAATTTTTCCCACTGTTGTTCCACAATGACCAGTAGAAAATTAGTTATCAGCGGAATTGCAAATTACCTTAAAAAACTGCAAATCTGCTTGTGAATTATAAAAAAAAAGCGTGACAGCTAAAGTGCAAACAAAATGTTTAGGTCTGCAATTAGTGGATTTGCGCTTTAGCAGACTGGTGCCCACCACTGGTAAAAGGCGTTACAAATACAGAAAACATGACTCTTATGAATGTAGACATATGGAGTGTAATGAGTGTTTACTGGATGTGTGCCTGGCACCAACTGTACTTTCGGTTTGTTTAATATTGTAAATCACTTTGTATGCTAAACGCTCTGTTGTAGTGTGCTATGTGAAGCTCAGTCAATTGCACTGATCCAAACCCGTTATGTTCTCATTCAGGGAATAAAATGCCAGATCACCCAGAAACTCCTTGTCTTCTTTAAAATCACACAACACAGTCGAGAGGTTCCTTGGGACAGCCTGTTACAGTGGAGTGAAGTAGAACCCAGTTACACTGKTTTAGTTGGATTTTAATTTTCTAAGATTAAATATATTTCCCTCTCCCATCGTCAAATAAAACAAACTAAAAACATATGAAAGTTTCAGGAAATGTTTCACGCACCACAGAGATCAGTTAATTGATGCGTGAAACATTTCTGAGCAGACCCGGAAAACTTTGCTGTCTATCTGTTAGCAATTGCTACCAATGTCTGGGGGTGACCACCGGCTACAGCCCGAGTTAGCATGCCCAGATCGAGTGCTTACCCCGGTCAAAGATGGACAGGGAGCTGGGCCCACCGCTTCAGCTCTGAGTCCCAGGGGAGGAGCTAAACCCACTTTGCCTGAATGCATATCATCAGCCATAAATGATTGATAAGTGCCTTCCAACCTACTAGGAGGGACAGTCTGGACACATTTTATTGGACTGATAACTGCTAATAACGTCCATTTAATGGACTGATCAACTTTCAAAATGGGTGGAGCAGCATGAGTAGATGAGTAGACCTGGTCCTGTTGGTCTCATGTCTAAAACTGGTCCTGCTGGTCTCGTGTAGACCTGGTCCTGCTGGTTTCAGTTTATAAAGCCTGATGTTTGACAGAGACCAGCCTAACCTGAGTCTTTGTGTCAGTTTAGTATGTGTAGAGGGCAGAGTGAAATTTCTGTGTTAGTTTTATCCTGTTCTTTAAAAACAGGTGGAACAAAGCAAAACATTTTTTTCTTTAAAACGTTCTGATACACGAGCTCTTTGTATTTCCTTGCTAAGAGTGCTAAATCTAAGTGCACTGTAAAAAATGAAATGTTGGATTTACTTAACCATGTTATGTTACTTGGTTCCACTTAACTGAGTTGAGTAAATTTAAAGCAATAAACCAGTTTTTTAGCCAAAGAACATGAGTATGTTGCTTTGAATTTACTCAACTCAGTTAAGTGGATCCAGGTAACATAACATGGTTAAGTAAATCCAACATTTCATTTTTAGAGTGTGTGTGCAGAGCAACAGGCTGCTGAATGACTCTGTGATGTGCTGACTKTGCTCGGAGGACAGATCCTCCCTCCTTTAAACGCAGCGTTCTCATGTTCTGACTTGTTATGTTGATTTAAATCAGGATAAATAATTGATTACAGACTTAACCCTGGAAATCACTGTTGCCATAGCAGCGCCTCACACTTTCCAAGAGATGTCAGATCTTTTCGATTTGGGCTGCTGGGAGTAGGAGAGGCCCAGATCAGAGCTGCTGTCTGTCTGGGAGAACAGCAGATCATACAGGCTGGTCTGTCAGCGCTCTGCTGGAGTCTCACAGGTGACAGCAGAGARGGGGGTGGGTGGGAGGAGACGACAACAAAAAAGTGTACCAACCTCACACTGCTTGCGCCAAATGTCTATGTTCTTGCGCTGTGCTTTAGAGAAATGGTCCCATGCCTTTTGCCTGGTGGCAGCGGTGAAAACGGAGGTGATCTGCTCGACTTTGAGGTGAACAAGGAGGAGGAAAGGAGGAGGAGGAGGAGGAGGAGGAGGAGGAGGAGGGAGGTCAAAACAAAACAAGCCTTTATGTAGCATCGTAGCACTGACTGGAGGCTCGCACAGAGGAGAGACCATGTTCATAACCCGACCACAGCCTGCTACGCCTCTTCATCTGACAGCTGACAGGAGCAGTGTCCTCCTGAGTAACACCAGACCTCATGGTTTCAGCTTACAGTTTTTATTGATTGGCTTGACACAGCCGTCAACTCAAAAACACATTTTCAAAACAGTTAACGCAGAGGCCTAAACATTGACACAGTGGTCAAAATGACACATTTTGTTTGCAAAAGAAAACAACTGTGTCAAAACATTTAAAATATGGCACAAAAGCAAACTTTGCCTTCAAACAACTTAACTTTGACACAGTGCATGAGCACCTCCAAACAACCAGTACACAATGGGCAACAAAATACAAAATTCAGCATTCATGTGTGAATCAGTGCACCAATGCTTGTCATTGTAGCCTATGACTGTACGTAGCTTACATGCCAGTGCCATTTGTAGTCAAATTTGCCCTCTTGCAAAAATGCATTCAGAAGCAGATATGCTTTGATGCAAATTTTATTGATTATATTTTTTTCAGACTGTGCCTGACAAATGAACTACAGTTTTTACTGACTGATTTGACCTGTTTGAAGAAACTCATCACCATCTCAAAAACAATCAATAAAAACTGTATTCCAACAGAGAATACATGGAAATAAAAATAAAATCCTTTACTGTGTGAGAAATTATGTAAATAAAAGCACAGTCTTTTACAATAAAGAACAAAAATCTATAGTACGCCTTTAGATTAGACCTTTGTTGTCATTGTACAGAGCACAATGAAATCACAGTTCAGAACACCCATTCAGAAGAAGACAGAACATAACAAACATGGGAGAACAGGTGCCCTGGGTCATGCAGCCACAGACCCTGCACAGAGCAAGGATCATCTTCATGAAGACATCATGAGGAGGTGCAACCCTCCTAAAAAATCTAAAACCCACACAAGGACAGATGAGGAAATAAATAAATAAATAAATAAATAAATAAATAAATAAATAAATAAAATTACTATAAGTACAAGAGAACAACACAGACCTGCAGACTAATTACAAATTGAAAAATTCTGTGAAGAAATGTCAAACTTGTGCTTTCGGTGTCTCGTACTGACAGCTAAAAGAAAGTTTGGACTTGAATGACATCTGCGTTAACTGGTTTGCAAAATGGTGGAAAACTGTGCCAATCCAATGAGAATGGGTTAACACATTGCAAGAGGTGTCTTCTTCTCTGCTGAGATGGTGATAAAGAAGACTGAGAGGTTCCCAGTTCCTTCAAACAGGTCAAACCAGTCAATAAAAACTGCATTGTGCCTCATGTTAGACCAGGCATGTCCAACTCTGGTCCTCAAGGGCTGCTCTCCTGCAAATTTTAGATTTGTCCCTGCTTCAACACAGCTGATTCAAATGATGATTTACCTTCTCAGTTTACCATCAAGGTCTGCAGAGGCCTACTAAGCACTCCTTAGGTTCAGCTGTGTTGAACCAGGGCAGCACCTAAAACATGCAGGACACTGGCCCCTTGAGGACCGACTTTGGACACCACTGTGTTAGAACAAACCTTCATCTCTGCTCAAGTCTTCACAGAAAGACATGTGCTAAAGAAACAATGTATTTTCCAGACCTTCAGTTGAATATGTGTTCAAGGGACAAAAATTCAACTAGAAGAGTTAGCTCAGAAAAATGTGAATTGTATTAAAATTGCAAATGTTTGTAGGTTAACACTCAAAGAGTCAAGTGAAAATTCAGCTATGGATGGGAGGTGCAGCAGAAAACCTGAGTTTTTATAGATTTCTGGAGTGTTGTAGAGGATGCAGAGACGGTTCACATAGATGTTTCTGTAGGTGTTGTGTTGACTTCACACTCAGGTCACGGCACAGATCTGAAGATTTTCAGCATGTTCAGGCAGCACTACTCTCATTCTGTCCTCTTACATTTACAAATCAGAAGAGTCTGTGACTTTAACAGGGAAAACATCCAGGCACAAAGATTTTAACATTTGATCATCCCTCATAGCTTATGAATTATTTCTGCTGTGTTTTATATACATCAAAGTATAAAACTATAAAAACTATAAAATATGTTGTGTGTCAAAATACTATATATGATGTCGTGGGTCTATTTATAGGAATTTGCCTTTTGGAAGAGAAATTAATAATATGTATTCAACAGGCACTAAGTCATTTTTTCTTTATTTTCCTATGAGCCAAACTTTGAGTTATTTCTATGTAAAGAAATTACAGCTGGTAATTATTGAAATAATATTTTCTGATGGTTGTCCACATTCACAAGAAAAACATGATTACATGACTTACAGCATCTAATATGCTTTTTATTTTTATTGCTTTGTTTTGTTTTTGTTATCTTTTGATGAATATATAGAGCTTCATGTCTCACAATAAAATTTAAAAAGAGTAATTTGTATGTGTAGTAGTTTCTGAGTTTCTGATTGAATAAATGCCAAAACGTTTTCCTAATAGTAACAAGCAGCTTCAGAAAAATTAATCAAAGAACCACTGAGAAAGAAAACCAAAGTTTTAAACTAAAAATTAAATGTAGAAAGAATTCTCTCAGAAATTAGATGAAAAGAGACTAAAAAGTTCAACAGGACCTGTTAAAACCTGGGTTTAAAGTTAAAAACCTTGGTTTTAGTGAGAACCAGTAGGTTTAAAAGAAGCGGAGTGAGTATGTGTGAATCATGATGAGCTGGTCTCTCCTCTGGTCGGCTGTCTGTACTTACTTCACCTGCAGAGTCACATCCTTCATGACTGACAAAGACAACATTTCTCCAGAATGGAAGGACTCTCAACATGTTAGGTGACATATTTTGAGCAGAGCTTTACAGAACCAGAACATCTTCAGATTCCTCCTGCTCCCTCTCTGCTGTGCTCCAACTCCACCGTCTCTCTGCAGACGAGGCATTTGTTGGACCTTTAACAGCTAACTCTACAGAACAATCAGCGTACCACTGATTGTTTCAGGAGAATCCTGTCAAATGTTGCTAGAAACAGCTGGAGGAGCAGGAACCTGTTTTACAGACTGACACATGTTTAACAACTATCAGGTTTAAATTCTGACGTCTGACAAGAATTGATCTTATTCTAAAATTAGAAGTTTTACTTCCACTCTGCATGAAAAATGTTGCCTTCAAAGTGTTGCCTTCAAGTGTTGCTGTGACTCAATATTTCCATATGCAATAAATAAGAACATTTCAGAATGAAACTTCAATAAAGTGTGCACAGAAATCAGCTGAGCTGACAAAAAAACATTAAAATAAACAGAAACTTACCTTCCTGCACCTCCTTTTACCATGTTTACCTGATTAACGGCAAATATTTGTAAAATTCTGAAAGAGCTGCACTGTTAAGTTTAAATTAGGGGATATTAAAAATAAAATTTCACATAAATTATCTGTTTTACAGTTCTGAATGCATCTTTTTGTCTTTTCAGGTGTATTTAAAGCTCCCCCGAGTTACACAGACATGAGGAACATTTGGAAAAGAAAAAATACAACTCCTTATAATCTTTCCTTTGCTACTTTATACTTCTGTATTCTGTGTCACTTCCACCCCGACCAGTCCCTCCATTCTTCCTCCACCTGTCGTGTCTCTTCATACCCACCTTAGATTATTAGAGTTATGATTTTAATGTAAATATGTTGCTCTGCCAATCTACACACTCATTATTGCTGTTGCTTAATTGTTGAATGGTTATCTTCAAACAGCTTTGCAAATTATGAATGACTTGTTCTGCATTGCTGTCCTGATAGAAGAAAACTTCAAACAGCAGATGTTACCTGTTTGTACAGAAACATCATCAGGTTGTTTGGTTGTACTGTCAGTCTGCATGAAATCCACTGCTGTGCTGCTTTAAAAGACTGTTTCGGCAACCTGTTTTGTATCTGTGTGTGTCCATGCTCACATGCACTTGTGGGGTTTGGTACAGTAGAGGAGGCTGAGTTGTAGTCACCTCATCACTGAGGCAAGTGAGTTCCCACTAATTTACAGGTGAAAAATGCAGTAAATGCATCTTTAAATCTAAAGCTGGAGAAGTGATGAGCAATGTTTAACCAGAGCAGCACGAGTCGACCTGCATCAACAACAGCATCTGTGTGTGTGTGTGTGTGTGTGTGTGTGTGTGTGTGTGTGTGNTGTGTGTGTGTGTGTGTGTGTGTGTGTGTGTGTGTGTGTGTGTGTACTGCTGCCTGCCTGTGGAAAGGTCAGAGCAACGTCACGCCTCTGACTCTGAAGCTCCTGCACAACTGACCAAATCAAAGCGCCGCAGCGAGTTGAGGATAATGCAAGCGATGGTGAGATGGATGAGGGAGCGTTGTCATGGAGACTGAGCTGAGATGCTCGCAGAGTAAATGAGTCGCATCGAGACGGGCTTCAAAGTGGAAAGTGGTGAAAATGGCTTCATGGTATGCACCTCAGTAATCTGCTGCTGCACCACACCCTGCAGCTGCAATCAGGAGTGCACTCACGTGGCGAGGATTAGAACGCCGCCACTGTGCTTTTATTAATCCGCTTTTCAAGACAAAATGATGTTTTACAGAAACCAGACTCAAATTTGCCTCAAATTAAAAACATCCACATATGATACAGGTAATATTGAAGCCTAATTTAAATCCAGTCAGACTCCTGTTGTCACCATTAGCTCAGTGTTTAAAGAGTTTTTACCCAGGATTATTTCACCAAACGCATAAGAATTAAGACTCTATTTGAAGTTCTGTAACACTGCAGTTCAGATTGATCAAATGTAAATAAATCTTCATTGAATACAACAAATACAAAAAAAATAAACAAATAAATGTTCTAGATATTTGGTGTGGTACCCAGCTACTTTAACAGATTACTCAGACGTCTTGAGCCTGATGGTGAATGAAAACATTTTATGGTTTGCTTTATTCCTCAATATTAGAAAATTTTATGTACAAAGATCAGGCCACTGTTCAGCATTGTGTGATCTTCCTGATCCAGCCTGGGGCCTGAGAGTTATGAGACAACAGCACTGATCACTGAGGATTCGTAGGCCTCAAGTGGTTTGATGTAGAATAATTTGGATGAATTGCAGGGAAATTAATTTTTAAAAATGAGGAGAAAAAACATGCATCACTGCAAATGTAACATTTTTTTGTATTTGAAAAAATGCTTTTTATGTTTTGCTATTTTTTGTTTTGTTTTCCTGCCACTAAAAATACTGTAATTGATAATCCTCGTACAACATCTTTCTGCTGTTAGTGAGGGAAGAAATCTTTACTGTGCTACTACAGTTTAGTGTGAATGTAAAATAAAAAAAAGGATCAAAATTAAAGAAAAATTTTCAGCATCTTTAAACTACTTCTTGATTTTTATCTGTAGATATCAAAGTTGTTGGTCAACATGATGTTCCCACTGCTGTGTGAGAACGGAGCCCCGACTCAGACTTACCTGTACACACACACACACACACACACACACACACACACACACACACAC